CTGAATAAACGAGTAGAATTTCAAAAACTCCTGTTTCTTTAAAGGTGTGGATGCCTATGTACTTGGCTGCAGGGCAGTGGAGTTCAAACTGCTGATCTGAGCAGTCATGATGGGCATTGTGGGCACCTCCTGGAGGCTATTTATAGTAACATAAGCAAGGGCAATATCTACAGTGTTACTGCACTGATCTAACTTTGCTGCTGAATAAACGAGTAGAATTTCAAAAACTCCTGTTTCTTTAAAGGTGTGGATGCCTATGTACTTGGCTGCAGGGCAGTGGAGTTCAAACTGCTGATCTGAGCAGTCATGATGGGCATTGTGGGCACCTCCTGGAGGCTATTTATAGTAACATAAGCAAGGGCAATATCTACAGTGTTACTGCACTGATCTAACTTTGCTGTGAAAAGCACTATACCTCTCATCAAGGAATTTTTATTTTGTTGCCATAGCAGGGGAGTTTACATTGGCAAGAGGAGCACTGATGTGTATACACTTGTACAGACTATTTGTTTGTCCTGTTACATTCCAGCTCAGCTTTCCCCTTGATATTTTTATACCCACTGCCTCTTCTTGTCCCCCTCCCCCACACTCCCTATTTTTTTCCTTCTTCCTAACCCCCTTTCTTCCCTATTTATTTTAGTTCTGGACATCTAACACTCTGGTCATCTGAAGAAATGGGCTGTGCCAGGAAAGCTCATGATACCATCTACATGTTTTGTTAAAGTGCTACCAGACTACTTGTTGTATTTTAAGTTAGAACTGTGTAAGGCAGACAAGGCCTTAGATAACATTTTAATGGTACACTTATGACTATAGGGACTCTGTTTATGGGCTCTAAAAGGTCTCTTGCTATCTTTAAAGTTTAAAGAAGTTTATGTCTATATGCCATGAGTAAGAAAATACTCCTATTCTTTCACTCTACCTGCTAATTTGCATAAAAACTACCTTTTGCCTTGTTTACTCTAGGATTTACTTTAGATAGCTATCTTGAGGTAAAAAAGCACACTTTTTTTTCCTAGACAAAACCAGTGAAAGACTTCTCTAATTAGAAACTATTAATGTTATGAGTAAGCTATCTAAATGCAGGAAAAACAACTTTATTACTCATACAACACCTTGCCATCAACAGGAACACCCAACTCCTCCGAGAACAAAGGATGAATAATCCACTTGTATGCATCTTTCAGCTGAACAATATCCTCTTTTGCCAGAGACAGGCCCTGTTTTCTGAATCATAAAAAATAAACAATGAAAACTTGTACATGAGTCAAACAATCATATCTCTGACATTTTATGCTAAAAATAAATGACCAGTCGTATAAAATTATTTTTATTATCATATAAAATTTCAGTATAAACAGGAGAAAACTATAAAGTGTACAGAACATGGTGTGAAGGACACGGGGCTGCTCTGAAATAATTTATTAATACAATAATCAGACAAGTTTATGGTAAGGGACATTTACTATGTCTATATTAAAGATGTTACGGACTAGTCAGCTATCCGATAAACATTTGCTTATCAGATAGTCAAGATGACTAATCGATTCCCCACCTCCTGCTGCCTCTATCAAATAGAGGTAGCAAAGGGGAGGGTGAGATGGGGTACTTCAAAGCGGCAGTGCTGCATGGAGCCCGCACCAAGCTGTGTGTGGTGCTGGCACTTTGAAAGGTAGAAGCAACAGATTGGGGCAACAGATTCTCTCACATGGACCTGGCTGAAGAGTCCTTCCTAGACTCCCATTATGAAAGGTAGAATGTGAGGAATGACATAAAAGAAATGAGAGTAGACGTGACCTTTAGTTGTTTTAATTTTTTCCCCTCTTATTATGCTTTCTTCCTGCTGTTAAAATGAAATACTACTTTGATTTAAGAAAGCCATCTAGTTCCTGGTCACAAACTCCTACTGGAAAGAACTGAAGGTGCCAAACTTAGTCAAATATGCTGCAATGAGCACACAGTATGTGAGGTAATATAGTCCCAGGACTAGTCTAAGAGCAGGAGAATCACCCACCCAAATAATTAAGGGCAGCAGAAAGTGTACTTAAACAAAAATGGCAAAAATATTAAGAGAAAACTAGGCATGCTTTTTTCAGACCAACAATCCGAAAGCTTATATAGGGAGAAACCCTTCCCACACAAGTAGCACATGTCATTAAAAAATAAAAACAGCATTCCCCTAGCACAAATGACAGGACAATTTGCTAAAAACCCATCCCTTCCTTATAGGAGCTCACTGTGAAAGCTTCTCTAATTCTGATTTAACAATAAAAGGATGCTTTTAAAGATTAATAACTTACTTTTAAAGCCAGCATTAAAGTAGGATAGAAATTGATTTTTCACCTCTAATTCAGAGTTCCTATATTGCCAATATCTCAAAAGGTCTCAAAACTAACCTAATCATTGCATTAGAATTTCTGGTTAGATATTTTAATAGCTAGTACAACTGCATCCATAGTTTTTGTACCCTGTTCACTTAACAATACTTTGCTGGAGATAACTCAATTATCTTATAAATTTATTCACAATTAATGTGATCCTTATCACATTCAAAAGACTTTTCCCCAAATTATCAGATATTATTAACTTACTGAAGATACTTTAGCTATTAGTATAATTTGTTCATGTCCCCATGTAGTTACATTATTGAGAGAATTTTAGAACATTTAGAACCAGCGTCTCATCCAATGGGTAGACTTATTCATCAGTCTATCAGAATGCAACTAATCAGTATCAAACTATACCTGTTAATCATAATTTTTTCACCATGTTCTAGAAAACACTGTGAATCAGCTAGTCATTGAAGATAAATCCATTAACTTAAACCCTATGTTCTTGAGAACTGTACAATTAAAAATTGTATATTGACACAAAGTATATGAAAAGCCACATTATAATTTTGTTAGTACTTTTCACAATACTAAAAATTAAATGGAGCAATCATGAAAACACAAATGAAATTGTGTACCTTCAAACTAAGTGTGCACTAACTTAAACTAACTTCAAAAATTGAGATTGCTGGGAAATGCAGGACTTGTGGATTCCTCAAGAAATACCAAACTTTTATTCCAAATGACTAGTTTATAACCTCTCCTTACTCAGGTGAACAGCAACAAAGACATTACCATCTCATAGTAATACAATGGTTGATATTAAATGAATTAATGGACTTAGTCCTGTCTGTAGTTACCGAGTGTTATTAAAACATTATATTCTTTGGTACTTTGGTTGGCAGTCTAAGGGCCTGTCTACATAGAGAGCTGCACCAGAATAACTATTCTTGATCATTCCATATGTGGTTGTTCTTCCTCTGGAATAAAAGTGTCAAATTAGTTTAGTTCATTCTGGACATGGAGGGCACTCATATTCCAGAATTAAAACATCCACACATGGAGTTAATCAAGAGTAGTTATTCTAGAATAACTTCCCATGTAGATAAACCCTAAGACACAGCAGCGAGGCTGTGAAGGAAAGCTTTAACTGCTTGTGCTATACTCCTTTTAAAGAGAATTTAGTGCTTGCAAAAAGTTCTGGAACAAGAGGCTTGGAGGTGAAATTACTTCGATTTAGTCACAGAACGGGTATAGGATAGACAACTGTGCATGCTTCCCTTCAGAGTCACACGAAGCTGTTTCTGCTCTTCTCTAGAAAGAGAAACAGATACGTCAGTCTCTGACAGTTCAATCCTCAGCTACTTAATCAAATGTGGTGGTGGAGTCAGTCTACTGGGAACCAAACCAACTATTGGTTCTTTGCCATAAGCTAACGGTGATAGTTTTGGCCACTACTGATCTGAGCTGGATCTGAAGTGGTGACAAAGTGAAAGGCTCGGTTAGCCTATTATGAATGTACCATCACTCTATCTACTTGACAGACTGAGAACGTCGGATTCCAGTGATGCCATTTTGATGATTTTCATGAGCACTATGGGTTGAAACTCTTTTAACTGGGATTCTCTGGTCTGGCACAGCGAGCTCATGGCGGGGCGACCCAGCCGTGGTAGTGGGGCTGCCTCGAGGGGTTGGGAGACCTCGCATGTGGCTGCCCAGCGGGGCTGGGAGCAACAGTAGCTCAGGGGGGAAGGAATCCACAGCATGTGCAGCTACCCATGGAGTCCTGGAGCTCCAGTGCAGCACACATTAATTTCAAAACACTACATTGAATGAATAGCCCACAACCCAACTCAGAAGCATTGTGCTAGAGATGCTGCAATCAAAATGAAAATACTGAACTAGATACATCCAATTTAGGGGCAAATACAGGATGTGCACATGCCAAAGCTGAAACGATAACCTTTTGCAAATGCTTGGCATCCATCTAAGTAGTAGCCTTCATATCAAACTTGCAAAAGCAACTACTTGCTTGCTCTGTTGCTCAAGTACCAGGATGCTGAAGGGTGCTTGCCAACAAAAGGATGAAAGCAAATGAAACAGTTGAATATCCTTGTTTAAAACATCAGATAATTTACTCCCTGGCTTTGTGTTAATTTTGAGTACTCCTAAGTATCGGGGACCATGGAGGAGGGAGAATCTTGGAGCACAGCCCCAGAGAGATTGCAGCTGTTTGCTAGCAAGGGTGCTTTCTCTCTGTTAAAGCGCCTGTCAAGTGAATCCCTTTGTTTTTATACACATGAGAAATACAATATTAATCATTTGCTCATAAATTTCTCTGTATCAGTGGCCCAATATTCTAAACCAGGCATGTCGAACTGGCATTTGGAGGTCCACATGCGGCCTGATCTAAATTTTTTGTGGACCACCAGAACATTTTTATAAAAGAATGAAGTGCGGCCCACTGGCCGCTGGGAGCACATGGCCGAGTGCCTGCTCACGGCCAGCCAGGCCGCTCTGTGCACGTGCTCACAGCCGGCTGGCGCTCTGCACTAGGATCTCCAGCAGGCACTCACAGCTGGCCAGGCCACTCTATACACGCGCTCACGGCCGGCTGGGTGCTCTGTGCTGGGTTCTCCAGGAGGCACTCTCAGCCAGCCGGGCTGCTCTATGCACACGCTCATGGCCAGCTGGTCCACTCAGCACTGGGCGCTCCAGCAGGTGCTCACAGCTGGCCACTGTGCTCACACTGCCCCAGCGCCTCAGGCAGCAACGTCAACTCCAGGACCCAGGCATTATGTTGGGGGGGAACTGGCTCTGGGGGAACGGAGGGAGATTGGGCGTCAACTCCAGGACCCAGGCATTAGTTTGGGGGGAGCTGGCTCTGGGGGAACGGAGGGAGATTGAGTTAGAATGGGGGGTATGGAAGTGCCTAGCTCTGTGGGAGAAGAAGGGGTTATTTTGTTAATATTTTGTTATTTATTTATTCCCAAATAAAATCACAAGATGTATATTAATTTTATATCAATAAATGTGAATTTTTTGCAATTGCATGAATAATTATATCTTTATGCAAAATCTCAAACTTACAAAGTATCTGAAATTTTCAAATAAGCCTGTTTTATTTGATTAATCATGGTCTATACTTGTTTTTATTTCAACAAAACAAGTTGTGTGTCATATTCAAATATAAAAGTACCTTAAATTTATATTGAAATTAAAAAAATATGTAAAATTAATTTTTAAATTATTTAATATAAGCAAATAATTTTACACCTCAAATTATTGTAATAATATAAAATATACCTAAAACCTAATCTATAATAATAAATAACTATGAGTTTCCGTCAAAGTACATTTTCTTTGGTGGCCTTAGGGTTGCCTGGCTTCTGGTACTGGTGCCTTCTGCCAGACACCTAAAAATCCTTTTTTTTTTGCTCAACAAAATTTTTTATTTTTTGGTCAAACCATCTGGGAATCATAGGTGGCCTATGGCTATCAGTTTTCATTTGTGCTACCCTCAGTAGGCTTCAAGTTTGACATGCCAGTTCTAAACTAAGAAGTACCTCATTACTCTTACTCTGAAAAAAGTTATAGAAATATCTCCTCATTCACTAAATCCAGTACACTCTGGTAGAAATACTATAAAACATACTCACCCCATTTCCTCTTTTACCAGCAGCCAGGCAGCATGCTATAGGCCAGCAGCCACAAACAGGAAGAGAAAAAAATGCAAGTGAAATCAAGCTTCAACAACATTCAATCAAATTATCAGATGTGCTGTTATTACAAACCATTTTTTTCTAAAGGGAAACTAATGTTTGCAAAGTCAAGAATTTCCAGATAACTATTAAGAGATTAAACACTTTCATTTTGCTTTGGAACTGAAAGAATAAAGCAGGGGTAAACCCTCATTCTCATGGGTTTATCATCAGATTTTTTAAAAGAGATTATCGTTTTTTACAGTATTCCCTCTTTGCAGGAGTAGTCCCTGTTATCTAAGTATGAGCTTTCCCCTGCTTACTGTCCCCAAAAACATAACCAATAACGAACTCTTATCTCCCCTGAGGCAAGCACTCAGAAGCTAAGGTAATTTTTTTTTAGTTGGATCAATTTTCACGATGGCTACTGGAAATCTATGGGGGGAATTTTAACAAATGCTGCTTTGAGATTTTATCCCAATTTTTAAATTAAAGTATGCATGAAAACTGTACATACTTCTAAAATCTTTCACCCAAAATATATTATTTTAAAAGGAGCGCTTTTTTATAACAATGAAATAAGTGATTTTATGGCAGTCAATCTGGAATTCTTGAATACAAAGTACACAATATTACAGGTCAGACAGTGGAAGAACTAACACATGAAAACCAAAATCCAGGTAGATCACAATGGCCTAGTAGTCAAAGAAGAAACACTAGAAAGTGAGCATTATATTCCTATGTTGATCTAATGTTCTACTGTTTCGCTAATGATATTCTCCATTTTCTCTGACCATGATATTTTATAAAACAATTTATGTCTGTTCCTGAGCTAGTCTACCAAGCCACTCCTTTCACCCTCATGTACTTCTTGTTTGAAAACTGACTTTAACCCAATATCTACAATAATTAAGTTAATAATTTTCATCTTTATCGCTAACATTTTAGATGACCAAAATAATCAGCTACCAACGTGTGCATGTCTTAATCCTATTCCTGATATCTCAAAGCCCTCTATTTTGTCCCTCCCACCCTTACTTGTTGTGAGGCATCTTTCGTAAAGAATCTAGCACACTTTGGTGCGCTGTATAATACAGGGCAAGAGGCTGGCCTTCTCTGATTTCAGACACTTCTGTTGAAATTAAAAATCTTCATTTGCCATAAAAAGCAGTAAAATCTTTGAGATTATACAGACTTTCTGTACTGAGAGTTTTTGGCAGCCTTCATTTTTCATGCCCCCTAATACTGTGCATTCACCTTCTAGCCCAAGGTTAGATGGGCAACAAAAAGGTCATTAAGCCCTCAACCATTAAACACTAACTCAATAAAAACAGTGAAGTGATGAGGATGCTGTAACACCTTTAACCTGCTTGAATAAAGTAGGTTTGGATTTGCTCATGGCTAAAAGCTATATATGTTGGCGCATAAAAGTAAACCTGGATTCATACGATCTGAACAGAAAAATAAGGAAAGATGACTTTGTTGTAAATGCTGTCTGCAAAGCCATTTCAGAAGCAGTATTGGGAAACAGGGGCCAACACACAACAGGACTTCTGACTGTAATGAATGTTTGCTCATCTCAATTGAAAACTTAGATGCCCTGAAAAGACAAGCTTCTGAATGAGTATCCCACTGCTTTCCAGGGACGTAAAATCCCGTTTAATCAGTTAAACATTATGTTTAACCAGTTAACCGCTTAGTTCGGATTAGGGATGCTTAAAAGCAGGTCATTTCAGCGGTTACACACGCTGGCTGCTGCCCCACACCGCTGACTTTCAGAAAGTGCACTGGGTGACAGCTGAGGACTGTGAGCAAGGCAGAGTGCTGTGGAGGAGCAGGATGGACATGCTTAGGTACAGAGGAAAGATACAGAGGACGGCTCATTTGGGGAAGTGACCCTGGCAAAGGCTTCCAGACTGGGAGTAAAGGGACTGTCTGTTGCTGCACCTTAGGGTACCTGGGCTGGAACTTGGAATAGTGGGCGGACTCAGGTTCCCCCCAACCTCCCTATGCCACTACAGAGTCTGCCCCTGAGAGGGGAGACTAGGACTATGAAAGGGTTTTCACCCCAAACTGTGGACTAGCCTATGATGGTTATGGCTCAGTAGGCTGTGACCCTGGCTTCTGGAAAAGAAGAGGCTGTGTGGAGGGTCGCCAGAAGTGCAGGACTTTCATTACACAGCTAGAGATTTGCCACAATACTTACTAAGGTGCGCCTTACTAAGTATGATGCGCCTTACTAAGAAGTATTGTCTCCCCAAAATATGTGAGAGCTGCACTGCATCTGCATGATGCGGATATTTACAGCCCTAGATTCCCTTCCCCTTCAAACTTACATATACCAACTAAAAAAATTTAGCCATTCCCTGAATCAGTGTGTCACTTCTTAAAGAGGATGATCCCAAACCGCCAACTGGTATTTTCCAGCTCAGAAACTTCATCCTTCAAGTCTGACTAGAACAACTATGAAACAGTCCAAGGCAGAGTCAGCAAGGCCTCCTGGTCAACAGTATCAAAAATCAAGAAGAGAGATAAAAGAATCAGCCTGGGTACTTGACCACTCTCATCTTTAAGAGAAGATCAACCACTAATGAAATGAGTGGACCACTAGTATGGTGCCCCTCAAAAAATGAGAAGCACAAGTTCTTTTGAAAAAGGGTTGTTGGGTGTGAGGATTTTTTTTAAGAACCCCGTCTAGATTGCGCTTTATTGTTGGGTGTGAGGATTTTTTTTTTTTTTAAGAACCCCGTCTAGATTGCGCTTTCACTTTTGAAAACCCCTTTTTCGAAAAAGCGCTCGGACACAAATATGCGAACGAAGCATGGGATGTTTAAATCCGTGCTTCATTTGCACTTTCGATTTGCTTCATTTACATTCCTTTTTCAAAAGAAGAATGTAGTTTAGACGTGCCCTTAGAGGAGTTCCCCTAGAACACCATTTCCTTTTTGCTGGCCTGACACATCTTTCTACTAGATAAAGTAAATTATTATTAGATTGCAACAACTGGTTAACACAATATACTTTTACTTTTGTCTATGATCCCATTCACAGTGAATCCCATTTTCTACACCACAGGTAAACCACCACATCATTTATGTCCATCTGTATGCAGTCCATCAGTTCAACAATGATGTTTTCTGAAGTCTAAAGTGTGACACGCATGCTTTAGAACAGTGGTTCTTAACCTGGAGTGCACACACCCTTGGGGGTGCGAGATGCCCTTTCTGGGGGTGTGAGACATGCCAGATTTTTATGATATATCTTAGATTTAAAGAACTGACATACTTCAATGATTTTTAATAAGGAGTGTGAGAACATATTTTGAGAACCAAAGGGGTGCAGACTGCAGTAAGGTTAAGAACCACTGCTTTAGATCATATCAATCAAAGTCATTAGTACCTATAGCAGGAGTATGATGCTTTTCCCAGGCACCTAATAATCAATTATTTCTGTCCTCTTCAAAGGCTTGTAAAGCTCTGATCCATGGTCTATACTAGGACTTTATTTCGAAATAATCCCCCTGAAGCCAAATTTATAAACAGAGCATCCACACTACCAAACCCATTATTTCAAAATACCAGGCCACGGAATTCAAAATCTGTACGCCCGCTTCTTATCAGGAGTAAGTAATAGTTATTTCAAAATAACAGTAGTATAGAAGCTCTGGTGCCACTATTTTGAAATAACTACTCTTTAGAGTAATGTGCACTAATTACTACCCAGCGTTTCCTTAAGCTCTAAGTCCGAGGTAGCATGTCCACATTAATAGAGCCTGCCTTGGACTAATTTTGAGGCTTCCCTGTAGTGTGGACACACTAGTTCAAATTTGTTAAATCTGGAGTTAAGTCGAATTTAGTAATTTTGAAACACTTTCCTAGTGTAGACATGGCCTGAGTGTTGTGTGCTGCCATGCTTATCTATTTAACACAGCCTTCTCAAGATCATCTGGCTTTATTGCACCAAAGTGTCTGCTGTTCTTGATACTGTCCTTCTAGCACTTTCTGGGGCAGTCTTGATTCTGATGTCCTTGTGCCAATTCTCCATAGAAAATTTTTCTGGGGAGTCAATGTTCAGAAATTCTAATTAGGTATTAAACTCAGTGTAGTTGGGCTTTTATCAGCATGGCCTCGATGCCTATGGCATTTGATTTTTGGAGAACCTTCAGGTTGCTAATTTTGTCCTGCCAGCAATGCATAGGGAAGGCATCTAGCATTTGCATGGTGATGTTGATTTAAATTTTGTTTGAAAAGGGAAACTCTAAAGTCAATTCTGTAGTTGTCTCATTTCCTTTGCCTCACTTGGCTCTCCTGACTTAATATTTGGACATGCTGGGGGAAAATGACTAGTCAGTCCCTATTGTGAAAAAATCCCCAAGAAAAAATAATCTAATAGAGGGATTTGAAAAGGTATATCAAAATGAAAGGGTCACGGTCAGGAGTGGTTGCCCTTCAGGCTAAGATCAAGTGACATATCAGTGCAATTTATGTCAGAAGATGTATCACAAGTCTGTATCCTTCCCTTAGTGATAGAAAAGCATGATTTCATAGGTCACTTTCATTCACTCAGTGTTGGATGGACTCATTAATTTAATAAGACTTTTATAACCCATATTAGGCCTATCCTCAACTTTGCTGAAAGAACAAACAATACAGTTTGGCCTGTCATGAAATAGAGATCTTTAAACCAGTGCAGGAATTACTGGAGAAGGGAATAAAAATGCTAAAGACATACACTGTACTAACTGATGGACCCAATATACCATTACTGAAGAAAAATGTACAGGCAGTCCCCGGGTTACATGGATCCGACTTACATTGGATCCCTACTTACAGACGGGGTGAGGCAACCCCGCACTAGCTGCTTCCCCCCAGCAGACCAGGGAGACGCGGAGCGGCTTTTCTCAGCAGACACCTCAGCTTGAGAAAAAAGGACTGAGGGAAGTGAGGTGTGGGAGAATAAAACTGAGCTCTGGAGAAATGTTTGGCTAGAGTTT